TTACGGCCCAACTTATCAGAAAAAAACTATACCAAGTTGCAAAAATAATTTTTTACATTGGGTTTTTCAGACGAACACTAGATACTATGTAGCCCAAAAATTAGATTACATGGAAATGTAAGACTGTACTGATTTTCCTATATTTTCTTGCATAATTCAGTCACTCTCAATAACCGATAGTAAGTTTCATATGAATGATCAAATAAGGATTGTTATTGAGGTAGATTCATTATCAAGGCTTACAACACCACGTTATAAAGGATAATATAACATGGTTGTTTGAAAAAAAAAACACTTGATATCAAGGGTGATTTACTATTGAGAATCATGCTATTGAGGTTCCAGTTGAATAGTTCTTGTAATATATTACTTTGTATAAATTTATTTTAAATTTCTCCAGAATTAAGACTGATAATTAACCCTTAAAATGTTTTTACCCCAGACTCCAAAAAGAATTTCTGTTCTGTATAATCTATTCAGGATGCAAGTTTTCTTCTTTCACGCTTGGAAGCAGCACCGACTAATGATCTGACAAAAATAATGAGTTACAAAAATAATTTTTTACATTATGTTTTTCAGACGAACACTAGATACTATGTAGCCCAAAAATTAGATTACATGGAAATGTAAGACTACTGTACTGATTTTCCTATATTTTCTTGCATAATTCAGTCACTCTCAATAACCGATAGTAAGTTTCATATGAATGATCAAATAAGGCTTGTTATTGAGGTAGATTCATTATCAAGGCTTACATCACCACGTTATAAAGGATAATATAACATGGTTGTTTGAAAAAAAAACACTTGATATCAAGGGTGACTTACTATTGAGAATCGTGTTATTGAGGTTCCAGTTGAATAGTTCTTGTAATATATTACTTTGTATAAATTTATTTTAAATTTCTCCAGAATTAAGACTGATAATTAACCCTTAAAATATTTTTACCTGAGACTCCAAAAAGAATTTCTGTTCTGTATAATCCATTCAGGGAGCAAGTTCTCTCCTTTCACGCTTGGAAGCAGCACGGACTAATGATCTGAATTACCGGTATTGCATGTCAGTATTGAAGAATAAACGGTATCCAAAGATTATATTTCGTTAGTTGTTGTTTTTAATATTGTTCTAATAAATGCAATCCAAAGTTTACCATTGAATTTTTATTTGATTCGGAAATTATAATCAATATAATCAATACCGGCAATGAAGCAGTTACCAGTTAAGCTTCACCGCATACCATTTTTGGAAAACGTGTAAAAGAATGCAATAGGTGCTTAATATTAACTTACCAATTCTGATAATTTCTTGCCGTGCACTACTTATGAATTCCTAAAACCCTTAATTTGACAGCGTGCCATTATTGGCACATGAGGATTTAAAAAATGTCACGTTTGCCTGTTAACTTTTTAATTCCAACAAACGGTGTCCAAAGGTTCTTTGCCTATTGCTATTATGGTTTAGTGCACTATAGTGGATGTTTCGGAAATTACTATCACTTTAGACCAACATATAGAAAAGGAGGTATGGAGGCTTAGTGTAGAAGGTTAGTAAATAACTTCTTATTTCAATATTTTAGGCGGTTTACTTATATATCTAAGTGATTTGCACAGATTAAAGATGAGAAAACATAACCCAGGACAGTAATTAGCTTAAATATGAATATTTATTTTTTTATAAACTAAACCATTTGAGTGTGACAAAAATGGCACATTGCCAAAGAACCAGGGAACAATGAAAATATTTGGGCGTGCCAAAAATGACACATTACCAAAGATGCAGTTATTTTTTTTAGTTTATTGAGCGTGCCTAAAGTGGCACACTGTTTATAAAACAGTTAAAGGTATTTATATTTGTAAATGTATGTCTCTTATTTCCACAAATTGTAAAATAAAAATGTTTTTGTGAGGAAAGATTTTTCACTAGGCTGTTTAGAAAAGACTTTGGCTTTACAAAAAATCCCGACCATCCATGGCAACAAATATCTATCAAAATGAGTTTTATTTCCTGCTGAAAGTGAATCTTCTTATATGAAAGTTGATTGTGCATTCCGATAAAGACTTTGGTACTTACAAATATTTGCTCACCGTATCGACATATCGTTGAATAACGCATTGCTGCCACGTTGAAAATAATTAAACTGGAAACCAGCAAGACAATATTTCACTAAACAATTTTAGTTATGGGATTTTTGAATCGCTAACCAAAGAAAGGAGTATAAGCCAAGTTCTAAAAGACAAGGATTTACTTCTTCTCACACCAGCTGCTCTGATGTATGTTGAAGATATACGGTTTTATGGTGTTGAACACTACCCTTTCTTTGTATACATCAAGAGGTCGATGCAGATTTTGCAAAAATAAAAAAATCGTCGATAGTGTGTTCGAAGTGCAATGCGAGGCTGTAACTGAAAGAAAATGGCAATTGTTTTGTGGGGTTTCACCAAAAGTAGATGACGTTTCTTGATGAACATACTCTAATGAAATTTTAAACGATTTTCCTGATGGGCATAACTAATGAAATATCAATAAATTATATAATAATGTATTTTCTATTGTAATCACATAGTTTTGTAGAGGTTTTACATCTGTATACATTTTAGTTCATTTTTTATAATGACGTTTATACCATTTTATATTGGATTGATAACTTTTGTGGAGAAATTGATATTCTAATATATTACATATAACTATAGTTATACAATTTTGATATCCAACATGTGATAATGTCGACTTATTCAAACCCTAAAGTTCATTTTTAAGTGCTATACAGATAAACTTGTTGTATTTAATTCAACATAAGATTCCTAGAGAAATCTCCGCATCTTTGGCAAAGTTCCAAAAATGGCACACATGAAAAAATTGTGAAAACAAATTATAAGAATTTTAAAATTATTTTTTTGAAGTTCTTTTGGACCCTTTTGATTGAAATATTGCAAGGAAAAAGTAGTTTTCAAAAAAAAAATATTTGTTTGCCAAATTAAGGGTTAACGGAACAGAAATAAAAAATTAATAATTGATTCAACAATAATAATTTTGTTAAATAGCCTTTTTTAAATGAAATAGATGTTAATACATCTATTTTTACGTAGCTTTTACATGCCCATTCATAGATGTTACGGCCCAACTTATAAGAAAAAATTATACCAAGTTGCAAAAATAATTTTTTACATTGTGTTTTTCAGACGAACACTAGATACTATGTAGCCCAAAAATTAGATTACATGGAAATGTAAGACTGTACTGATTTTCCTATATTTTCTTGCATAATTCAGTCACTCTCAATAACCGATAGTAAGTTTCATATGAATGATCAAATAAGGATTGTTAATGAGGTAGATTCATTATCAAGGCTTACAACACCACGTTATAAAGGATAATATAACATGGTTGTTTGAAAAAAAAAACACTTGATATCAAGGGTGACTTACTATTGAGAATCGTGTTATTGAGGTTCCAGTTGAATATTTCTTGTAATATATTACTTTGTATAAATTTATTTTAAATTTCTCCAGAATTAAGACTGATAATTAACCCTCAAAATGTTTTTACCCCAGACTCCAAAAAGAGTTTCTGTTCTATATAATCCATTCAGGGAGCAAGTTCTCTCCTTTCACGCTTGGAAGCAGCACCTACTAACGATCTGCATTACTGGTATCGCATGTCAGTAAAGATTATATTTACTTCGTTTAGGTGTTGTTTTTTTTATATTTTTCTAATAAAAAATGCAATCCTAAGTTTACTATTTAATTTTTATTTGATTCGGAAATTATAATCAATATAATCAATACCGGCAATGAAGCAGTTACCAGTTAAGCTTCACCGCATACCATTTTGGAAAACGTGTAAAAGAATGCAATAGATGCTTAATATTATCTTATCAATTCTGATAATTTCTTGCCGTGCACTACTTATGAATTCCTAAAATAGTCTAAATAGAATATGTTGGCAGAAAGGAATTTGTCGTTAGACTGTACAATTAAGTTTTTGTGTCATGAACTAGTGATTATGAAAGTTAATTAAATGTATCCCTAAAAAAATCTTTATAAAATTGCTCAAAATATGTTGTATTTTTTGCTCACCTTTAGGTTAGAGCTCGTTCGCTGCGCTCACTTGCCTTCAGGTTAGCTCGTTCGCTTTGCTAACTCGCCTCCAGGTTGAAGTTCGTTCGCTACGCTCACTCACCTTTTGGTTGCAAAATTAGCTGTTATCATAAATTTAAAAAAAATATATAGTGCTGCACCCTGTTGGTTATCCTTGTAACTTAAATGCTATTGAACATCATAGAACAGAACCAACTTGTTTAATTGAAACAGCTGTTAAGATTCATTAATTCTAAATTGAAATTTTACCTTTGTCATCCAGCTCCTGATTTATTCAACTTGTTACGGCCGTTTCAGCATCACTGTGCCATCGTCGGACTGTTCAGCCAAAAGGCGTCGTTAAAACACAAAAACATATACAAGAAACACACACATATTTGTCAAAACGGGGTTTTGAAAACAGGCCTGTTGAGGATAGTACATTCCCGAACTTGAGCAAGTAGCTGACTATCCTTCCACCATGATTAAGATCTTTGTTTTTGTCACGATTATTGTATTAACACTATTCCAGTATATTGTCTACAAAATGAATTAAGGATAATTTGGTTAATTGATTGATTGATTGATTATCTAGAACAACCCTCAAAACTTAATTGAAGAATTCCAAATATTTTGTTGCAAGGAGGGTAAAATTCGATACTGTAGAACCAGAAGGGCACAAACTTAGAATCAATATAACGTCGCCGGGATCAAGACGCCTTCACAGGTTCAATCCTTGAGAAATTTTTTAAATGTCCTAATTTTGTAAGATTTTGTAGAGATCAATCCTAAATAGATCTTTTTATTTGATTTCTAATTAAAGTTAAAGTACGAAACGTAATAGATAAAAAATATAAATACCAAATGTTCTACATACTTTCACAACATTCTACTCATAGGAACAAGGAGAAAACATTCACAAAATATGAAACTCAAAATATTTATTCTATTTACATTTTACAAAATCAACCCTTATAACGTTAGACTCCATAGAAACTATTCATTCTTTGACTTGACTAACCTTAGCAGGAAACAGTGGTCTCATTGGAAATTATTTGGTTCAAGCTTTTAGTAATCATTGTATTCTGTAATCCGTCTTCTTATTGATGTGAAAGCTTATAAGTTGGCAAGCTTGATAAGTGTAAATTTAATATTATAATAGCCTATGCTGATTTGTGCAAATCCGAAATATATTAAGCTTATGTTAGTATTTACAGTGTTTACAAACTTTAACAACGCTTTTGGAGCGTAATTTCTATCTTTATATAATATAGACTAGATTTCTCAACATATAAAAATATTAGTTTGAAAGCACTTCGAGTTTCAGTGTTGAAATAAACACTGACATTTTTTAGATGCTAATGATATAAATTTAAGTGTATACGAATCATTTAGTAATTTCTTTTTGTTAAGAGCAGCTAAACAATAACAAAATATACAATTTAAAATGGGAAATATAGTTTAGTAAAAAAATTAAATACTTTCAAATAAACTAAAACTGATGCAACATCCAATAAATCATTTTATATCAATACAATTTGTAATGTATAACTTGTAGCAAGACTGCACGAAAACCGTTAATACAAATTAATCGATCTATAATAGTCTTCAACAAAAATTTCTGTTTTATATCTTTTAAAGACATTTTGTTTATTTCCTTAGTGATTTACTATATTTGGTAGGATTATGGACTATTGGATGCTAGTCAAAGGTAGAATCTAAAAGAAAAGGCTTCATTGAATGATAGAATGAAAGACTGTTGCTATTAACAATAGTTAGCAAAAATACATCTTTAAAGAGTGTACATACAGTATTCAATGATGTTAATTTACTATTTATTTCAAACATATAACAATAATTACAATTAACTTTAGTTTGAATATATGTTATTTGATAAATTTTAAAGCAAAGTTGAGCGTAAGTTGATATTAAGATATATTAAGATATATACTGCAACATTAATTCTCACAGTAAAGTTGTAAAACAACGAAATCAAATAAAATTGGATGAGAACGATGGATATAAATTATTTATTCTTTTTTTTTACTTAAACGTGCAGTAATTTATTCAAGTTGTTTATGAAAAGGTCAAATAGTTTTTATCACGTATAACAATTTAATAGCCTAGGCTAATTTTTCGAACGACACTTGCATATTGTTTTTGACCTTACTCCTCCATTTTCAACTTGCTGTTCAGCACAAAAGAAAATAGACTGTCATACCTTTTTACAATTAAGTTACAGCAAACATATACAGAATCTTGCCCATTAAGGCAAATCTCAAGACAGTTAAATTTATTTAGAACTTTTCAATACACCCAATAGATTTTACGAATAAATCTTGCACAAAAATATTGAAAATTGATACAATTCGATACATTCATAACAGTAATACAATAAGGCTTCATGGTCTGTCGTTACACTTTTAAAGCAGATTTTAGCGGTGCCTTCAAAAAGTGAATGGTAGCGCGATGGGTCGGTAGTTGCCGAGGTAGAAGGCCTCTCCGTGCGGACGTTTCGACGCCGTTAGGAGGCTGACGGCGTTGGATTGTGCGTCGGCGTTGGCGTCGTCTTGTGCACCTCCGCAATCTCAACCGGCGCCGGTGCTACGGGCGTCACGGTGCCGTCTTCTTCGGCCACCCGTAGTCCAATCGTGGCTCCGATCTTCGCGCTGGCCTGGCGGAAAGAGTCGGACAGTTTCTCCTGGAAAACATCACAGTTTGGGTTAGTTTTGAATGAGTATGACACTTTAAGGTTGAGATAAGACAATATGTGCTATAGCTTCTTCTGAGATAATAATATACAAATATAGAGGTTGGTCCTTGTTGCCAACGTAATCCTTGGTAGTCTTATAATGGCTACCGGTTTCGAAACGCTTACGGTGTCATTGTCAAGCCTAGACGTGGTTTTTGCTCCTAGGAGGATGTCAGATAGTCTTCAAAAAAATTAACGGGACGAATAAAGAACGAAAACGAACACAAACAAACATTTGACGAACGAATAATTCTATATGGCCATACAACTCTCTTGGGTCTAGACCTACACCCTGAACCCACAGCCGTGCCGAAAGTTGTATGGCCATACAGTATTATTCGTTCGTAAAAATGTTTGTTTGTTTTTGTTTTCGTTATTTATTCGTCTTGTTTATGTGTTTTGTAAACTTAATGGCGACATCCTAGGAGCAAAAACCACGTCTAGGCTTGACAATGACACCATAAGTGTGTCGAAACCGATAGCCATTAAGACTACGAAGAATTGCGTTGACAACAAGGTTTTAACTATTTAACTTCTAGATTTGTAATTGTTAAGTAATCCGGAAGGCAGCACATGAGAAATAAAAATAACAATGTATGTTTGGTAGAGGTGAGCTGGAATTAATTTCATGGAGGTAGCTTAGAGTTTGACTAGTTCAAACGTGCGATTGTAAGGATTGTAAGGATGGTGAATTGTTTTGTCTTCTATTACAAAACATCGCCACGACACTACAAAATTATTAGTGTACCTTCCTATCTAAGCACTGTTAGCCGATGGACACTAGTTTGCGAATCCAGCGACACCATTAAAGTTGTTGGAAAAAGATAGTTTAGTTTAACTTTCACAGTATTTTCAAATCAAAAACAGTATACATAAAATACAATTATCAAAATATGGATGGTCCTCATGTAGGCGAATTTTATGGGTCAGGAACGAGGTTTAGTTAAGATAGGTGCTATGGAAAAAGTTTGCATTTGTTACACCCCTAACATTTACTGAACAAACAAAACGTATACGTTTATACACATACTATGTGGTTTATACATGTTTTCCACACTTGGAAATTTCATAGCACATTTAACATTATCTAAAGCAATCAAACGTATGCATTATATATTCTACAATTATGCAATTCTGCAATTATAAAAATCCTTAACATTACTTTAACCAACCTAACATAGATGAGTTAAATTCTCAACTCGATTTGCCGAATCGAAAATAATTACCTAATTTCTCTGAAGCATTTCTTGGACACAAACGGCACCTTATAAATTATAGATTGGCAAGTGCTACGGTTGCAAACATACTTAACCGATGCCAAAATCACTGAAAATAATGTGAAGCTGTCTTGTTTCCGATCACAAGAATTTTAAAACGATTCCTAGAAGTTATAGAAGAGAGATAGTGTTAATATGAAAAACTAACTTCTTAAGTTATTTTTGGGCTTACACAATGTTGGAAATATAATTTTAAAAAATTACAGAAAAAATTGATGTGTTATTAATTAATCAAAAGTAGTATTAATGTTCAATATGTCAGTCAGTTTAAACATTTCAATTTGAAAGAATCGACATATGAAAAGCATATTTATAAAGTGGGAACATTCCTTTAGCTCAATTACACTGACTGTTGCGCTTTTATTTGCATAAAAGGGGGTAATGGTCTTATTTTAAGTAAAATATGTGGAAACGTAACATGTCAGCCATTTTGATGACGTCATAACCGACAAATACAATGGGTGTAGATGTGACACCTGAGTTGAAAACATTTATTTAGACACCTACATCCAAATAAAATGGTAAAACCTTCTATACATGACTTGCACACCACCCTAAATGTAGACTGCTAGGTTTATTTGCGCCAAATTAGGCATGTTTGTAAAATTTACCTAGTTTTTTTTACTTTAAATTTCAAGTAAAGCATATAAAATATGGCATTTTTGTAAAGCGACTAAAAAGGTCTACAGTGTTATATGTGGGTTGTTTCTGATATACTGTATTAATAAAACAGTATTAACAAAAATAACACAAACATATTTTATGGTTTTAGGATTTTTTCAAAATTACGAAAAATGTTCTGAACATACAAATGTGTAGCTTTAAGAAGGATAGAATGTAATGTTATCTTCCAAACAAAAAAAGTTTATTCCGATCCGACATTTTTTTGAGAAATACAGACTTAAATCATTTGCATCCTTTGCCGCTATATTAATAAAGTCATAGCCGGAAAACGTGGAGAGTAGGAGGTAAACACCCATGTTATTTAAACTCCCTCGACATTAAACTAAAAGCTTATGCAAGAATATTTAGTATACGCAAAGTGATGTCAGCTGAAGGATTAAATGTAAAGATAGAAGTAAAACACCCCGTTGCAGTAAACCGGCATTCTACCTATTATACCATAGTATAGTATATGCTACCTTGTTCTTCCTGCTACTCTAACAATATAGGCCTACTCCTACTTAGTCTGTATATACACAAATATATATAAAACAACATATGACATATACAACAACAATATAATTTACCTGTACAACGTTGATACACATAGACGTGAGCGCCAGCCCGAACACTAGGTAGACTATGGACGCCATCATATACATCTGGTTCTGTAAACAGTATAGGAAGCATTTAGTCTAAAGATGTACATCATACACATGGTTATAAGAAATTGCTCGAATGTTAATAACTTAGTTTTTTCTATTAGTCTTTAAGATGTCATAAAGTCGTCTCATTGACGTTTCGAACGCGTTTAACATTACGTTCTAAGGAATATAATTCAACTATCCAGTAAGTAAGCTATTGAAGAATAAAGACGGATATAACACACAAAATAATTGTAATATCTCAAAGATGCTTAAGAGGAAATTTATTTCTTTGTGTAAGAAGTATGAGGTATTTCTTACACATTTGAGAATATAAATCAAGGAGTTTAACTTGACTTATTTATTCTTTAAGTAAAAATAATAGAGTACTGAAACTTTTTGTAGCAAAATCACAATGCAACCTTTTGTAAATGTTAATAGACTAAATACTCAAAAGATTAAAATCTGCTTTAAATTGTACTGTAAGTAATCAAACATTGTATATAGGTACAGACGAATTAAACAATTATTTATATAATATTTATTTTGTTAATAAACCTTCTATCACGTTCACTTTCATGAACTGAAGTTAATTATTCACAATTTGTTTTAGTTAATATGTGAATTCCATTGCTGAATAAGTCTAAGTAAGTCTCTTACCCCCTAAAAAAAAGAACATTTACAAAGTTTTCATACGAATCCATTGACGAATTTGCATTTATTATGTATGTAATGACAATTGTTTACTACTTTTAATCATGCTTCATGCAGCTCACTAATCTAGCAAAATAGGAAAATTGTATAAAATCGACCAGGGGTGGCTATAAGTTTAGTTTACATGTTTCACCTTATTTCTTTAGGAATATGGTATTTGTTAGTTACATTTCATATTTACCTCGATTATTTGTTTGTCGCAGACCTACTAGTTTGTGGGATGGTATAAACGATTAATTATTTTTACAGTTCAAGTCTAAAGGGGGAACCAGTGGAGATTGTTGTCATATTAATACATTTAAATAACGAATTTAAAATTTTGCAATTTTTGGGAATATTTTATAGGTAACTGCTCACTTGATGATTAAATTACAAGTTTCCACACTAAATCTGTAATGGAAAAATACAGATTTTTGCCCATTTTATAATTGAAAATATACTAGAATGAGGAAAAACACATTGTGTCATGAACTTCCAAAAGTAGTAGGAATTCCACATTTTACTACAAAAGATAGTTTGTTTGAATTACCCTTTCACAGGACGAGATTTCGTTCCTTTTAATCCATAACTTTTGATCGTTACATTGAACAATCAATAGATGACTATTTCTTAAAGTTTTTGGTTTCTTATCTAATCTTCCTTCTTTGGTTCCTTGTTGTAATTATTCACAAGAAATGTTTACTATATGAAGCTGTTATAAACAGTGTGAGTATTTCCATTAGTTACATAAGCTTTAGTAGTTTTTTAAACCCATCGTAAATTATGACCGACATTCGTTTTAAAATAACCTCTGTATTACAGGTAATAGTAAATTGCTCGATTTCGAGCAACATGTGCACTATTTTATTCCAGTTGTATAACATTGACGATGTATTTGTCTTATCCTCAAGTGCACTAGAATATAAACCATTGTATATCGTGGAAACTGTTAAACTCTATATTTTTTATACAATAAACTTTGTTTTTTTAAGCATGCAAAGCAAAGCTTGGCCACCAACCGGTGATATCAGCGTCTTCTTATCAGTGTTATCAGGATCGAAGGGTGCATCGATCAAACCCTGCACACCAAACACACAGACACAAGACAGAGTTAAAACAAGCCACTCAAAACACAAACTGTTAGAAAAATAAGTAAATATCTAACTAAACTACCCTGCAACAGCAGAAATATAGAAATCTAGCACGACAGCACAAAAGATCTATGAGAAACTACTAGTATGTTTCTACAGTAAGATTGTTGAACTATAAGTTAACAAAGGAATAGTTAAAAATAACATGCCTAAAATCCGAATAGAATGAACAAACCAGAAAAAAATCTAAAATTCAAAAATACAAATTTTAAATATGGTCTATAGCGTATGGATATAAGTTATGTCAGCATCAATTTGGCCTACTTGATTTTACAAAAATAACCATACAGTGTATTTCAAATTATGTATATATTAATAAGACGTAAAATCAAGCCAACTACTACTATCCTTAATTTATATTTAGTAAAATTATAGTAATCCCTTGCTTTCTTTCTCACTATTTATCCTAGTAAAAGCCACTTTCTAAAAACCGAAACTCTGATCATGAAAAAGACCAATTTAAATCTATCAAATTAAAGTGATTACTTTCCTCAATACGGACTAATGTATTATTAAAATAATTTTTTAAACACACTTTTCGTTCAGTATTAATTTAGAAGATCATTCAAAACTATCTTGTGTAAAAATATTGTTATTGCAATTGAGGTTTTGATAAGATGTTAAAGATCTATAAAATAGCGAGATATAGGTTAAGGGTGGTCGATTTCTCCCTTGTTATACGCATTCTAATTTAATTATAATACCTTAATCAAAATTCCTCGCGTACCTTAGGATGGCTCGAAGGCCTTTACATAATAGCAGTGAGTTACCTGTCGTTTTAGCTTCTCAGAAATTAGATACAGTAATTGGACTCCACAAACAGCATACTGATATAATGGTAATAAGTTATGATAACAAATTGTAGGATTATTAATTGTCATCAGTAAAAACCAACAAGCAATATTCAAATTCCAAAGCAATATAAATTTTTACAAGATTCAAATTAGAAAGCTTAGTAGCCTAAAAACCGTATTTTAGAATAAACATAACGTCTACTCTACGTTATCAAGCAAAAAAATTTGTAAAGTTAGATACAAATCCAAGTAGCAAAAAATTTTATTACGACACCTGAGGGACGAAATCTCCAAAGCCTATGGTCGACATGGAGATGAACACGAAGTAGAAGGACTCGAAGAATCCCCAAGACTCCCAGACGTAGAAGACGGTGGCGCCACAGAAGATGTATACCAGAAGGATGAAGATGGCGACGGAGATGGGGAGGTTGAACTCGTCGTCGATGGCGAAGGTGGAGAGGGCGGGAGTGCCCGGAGGGTCACCGGGGGTGTGGGTCTTTGGAGGCAGTGGGGGCGGCATGGGAGGCGCGTCGTCCAAGGTCACACCCGGGGGCAGTTGGCTGGGGCGGCGGAAGGTGGCGATGTCGTAGACCATCTGAACCCCCTTCATCACCTCCTGGTGAAGAAAAGTTGCAATTGATATTAGAAGATAGCATAAAAGGAGTGATTTGCAAGCACTAAAATATTGCAATGACACTTAAGGAATGACTTTGTTAGTTATCGATTGGAATTTGTACAAGGGGACTGTGCAAACCATGGAACCATGGAACTGGTTATGTAAGTAAGGAGATTCATTATCTTAAACCGCTAAGAAAGAGAGTCAAACTAAAAAAAGACTTCTAGAAATAAACAAACAATACAGACTGACAACGTAAAATAAGAAAAGGAATAAGGCGAGAAAATGTAAAAACAATTTTAAAATATATCCGAACTTCGGATTTTAACCAATGAGATATATGGTATTTAGACGTGACTTAAGAGTTCTCTAAAGTAAAACCAGACTTTCAAAGTGCTCACCTCCACAGAGACTAGTAACAGTGGTCGTTAAAAATTCAAATGCAAGCCAATACTAAAAATATTTTGAAGGTCCCAATGGATCCTCTGAACTATAGAAAAATAATCAGTGATTTTAAAACATCACAGGTTTATAATAAAAATCATTAAGTAGCATAAACCATTCAATAAGTCAACGTAAAATAAAATTTATGTTGAAGTAAAAGAGCTTATGAGAAGTATTACTAGGTACTTTCAATTTATTACATTTTCTAAAAATTGGGGAGAAGTATTAATTGCTTTTTGGTATTGTTACTTAGCTAGTAGAAGTCAGTTGAATGTCTAGAAACGCATGATGATTTTTCATGGTTAATTTTTTGTTAAAGAGGACCCATTTTAAGTCACTAAATTATATTTGGTAATATTGAATTGAAGTTCAAATATTTTTGAATAAGTCAGTTTGTGAAAATCTAGAATTAAACAAACACGTTTGTATTATTCAGAAAGAACCATTATAAATTCACAAAGTCTACAGGCAGCATGCAACTAGCTAAACAGATTTTAAGCGCTACCAATTCTTTCTATGTACTTATAATATCTACAAACATAAGTTCATGTATATTTAGATTAAAAATAGCAAGTGTCTGGAAATATGCTAAAATAAATATACAACAATAAACCAAACTAAACATTAACAGTGAAAGAAAAAATAGAAGTAAATTTCGGGTGTTCAACAGCATTGGAGATTGCAGGTTCAGCATAAACTGAAAAAGGTTCCACTGCAAAATAATAAGTGCTAGAAACCACATACTAAATAGGAAAAAACGAAATGCAGCAATATTTGCAAAAGAAAGAATCTGTGCATCAATATTCACTAGAGATTGCCTCTATAACAAAGTGGAAATGAAGGTGAATAATGTTTTATCGTTTTATCGAATGTCACTAACGGGATCTTTGTTGCCTGTCAGAGACATTGTCTCTTGGTTCTTGTCTTCATCATCTTCATCGTCTTCGTCGTCGTTGTCCAAATGTTCACCGCTGGCTCTAGCACTAGCACTCTACAATAACACATATAAACTTGTGAGACTATAATCGACTACTCTGATGACGTAAAATCTAATATCAGCCTTTATAGTCTCAATTTTTCTAGTCCATTCCATTTTTGTCGTCCTTGTCATCCAATGTACGCTAAAGCGTTGTTAAGACAGACAATCTGTTCCAGAAAACGCACTAAGATCTAAAAGTTGTCATTACCTGTTTTATTTACCTTTGACCTCTCAGTAATTATTGTCAAAAGGCTATGTTGTCAGTGTTGAATGAATGTGAAACACTCAATCAAAATAAATTTCAAATCATCTTGCAGATTTCATTATTTAATAATATGGACTCAAGTTAAGTCATAGACATTCAAGAAAATACATACCTAAACAACTTTTGAGAAAGAAATTAAGTTAGGACACTGAACCACGAAAATGTTCACCATAAAACTGTTAGTAATTAAAACGTTAGCATCACTAACAAAACCACACAATGTAATCACATTTAAAATTATAAATCACTATTTTAAATCGCCACAAAACGTATAAACACTATAGATTAACCCATTGTCATTACCTGCATGGGAACTGTTCGGCGGACTTTCTTACAACTTCCAGTGTAGTAGACTCTTCTCACGAATGCCCAGATGAACTTGATACCGCGGGTGAAGAGTTTGCCAAAGTCAGCCAGCAGGATCAAGAACATCGGGATGCCGAAGATGGCGTAGACAATGGTGATTGCTCGTCCCGTCGTCGTCGACGGCGATATGTGCCCATATCCTGGAAGATAGAACAGTACGTCAGATATAAACTCTCTTTCATCATAGGTTAGAAGAACGCCAAGCCTGTGAGGAAATGTATATGTTAGAGAAATGTCAAATCTCAGTGAAATGTGTGGTTTCAGAGAGATATAAATTCTCCTATGAAAAATCTCTGAACAACTTAAAATGTCAGAGAGATGTCACATTTCAATTTAATACCAGTTTTCAAATATATATCTAACCTTGCTCCTCAGATGCTAAAGATATGTGAGATCATTGATGAGGTATCTAAAATAAAAAAGAGAGACCTTATCTTTGTGAAATGCCATGTTTAAAGTATATAAAATCTTATAAGTAAGATATTAGACAAATATTAGAGACAGCAGAGGAAACTTAGAGATGTCGCATCTTTTTAGAGAAATATCATATCTCAGAGAGATAACGAATCATAAACTGTCCTTAAAAACACCTCAAGTTCAAGTTAACGCTAAATTAATCAGGATTTCGGTGTTGAGCTAAGCCATCTGGCAATCTTATAAAAGACTCATTGTTTGTGATCTAGGCCTTCTATCACATGGCTGATTGGAGACTTAATCCCCCTTTAATTACTAGAAGCTGCAGATTGGCGCGAAACCGTGTTAACACAGCCAACTTGTTAAGAGGAACTGAGTGATACATGCTGCAAAGAATTGCTTCTGATTAAAGTATCAACAGACATGTTGAAAAGGTAAGTAGGTGAGAACCGTTCCTGATCAGCTGGCATGTAGTTTTCCAAAGTGATTAACTACATAATGACCAAGCTACATAATGAAAAGAGGTCACTTCTAATAATAAATGTTAAGTCAATTGATTTCTAGAAATTGAATTCAAATAATCTACCAATAACTTTTTCAGCATAATCAACTACAATAATTGACACCCACTGGCATACGTGATACGTAAGTAGATTATTATCTATAATATCAAATAATCTATCTTATTGTTTAAATTCATTGTTAAGCCCCTGAGCTGTAGATATTATTGTAAGACTAGATTACTTACGTCAATAGCTCATTGAATCGTGAATTTCACTTCATGTTTCAGTACATGTTTCGACACATTGTCATCATCAGCTGAGTACTAACTAGTGAAGTTTTTATTCACCATATGGTTTCGTAATTGTTAACAATGACATTGTTTAAATCGTCCTCAAGGGGCATATCCAATCGTCATTGTTTAAACAATGATGAAACCATATGGTGAATAAAAACTTCACTAGTTAGTACTCAGCTGATGATGACAATGTGTCGAAACATGTACTGAAACATGAAGTGAAATTCACGATTCAATGAGCTATTGACGTAAGTAATCTAGTCTTACTATCTTATTTGGTCAATGTTTTCAAAACCTATTGTTACTAACAATAGGTTTTGGTGTTACCCACTGTAGAATTTAGTTGACGTACTAGTCAGCTCAACTTCAAATAAATAACTGCTTCTTTTTAAGTTATAAGTATTAAGAAAAAAAAACTTGAAAATTTGGCTTAAGCAGCTAAATAGGCGATCAAACAAAAAATTCACTTTATACAAACTACAGATTTAGACACTAGTAAGACTGGCTTTTGAGCTAGGCTTTAATTTATGACGCTGGCTCTTTAATCTCCATACCGAGCTAAATCCACTTTGGCAATGGATGGTGATTTACCCTCTTGTGACAACTTCAATTGACCTATTTCGAATCAGGCTTTAAAATATTTGTTGTTTCGTTACAACACAGATATTGGTTCTTATATTGTTCGTATTGGTTTAGAAATAAAATTACCAAAATAAATAATAAACCACAATCATAGCAGATTTTTTTCTTGCTCTATAAATATTTTGAAATATTCAGCTAACATTTTGTACATGTAAACGATGATAAGTGTTATTGATATTAAATACTATTTAATATTCTAAGTATGTTCAAAGCTTAATGATTCATAAAAATGAGATTGTTTTTCCACAGATAAACGTATTCAGAGTTGTTAGTTGACTTCTTCCCTAATGTCCAAAAAATTTCAATTTAAAATTTAAGCACTGGCATATTTCAATAAAACATAAATTAATTTACAAATCCCTTCTAAGCTATCTTTAGGATTGGTTGTGGTACCTAATATTCTTTGTGCGTCACAAAGGATTATTGCAATACAGTCAGTAGCACTCCAGTAAAGCATAACATCGTAAATAAAATGTTGTAAGTAATTGATTAAAAGCTAAGATATATGTTTCTAAGTGATCGATCTGCTATGAAAAAAACATCGGTGTCTCTTTATTTTCAAAAATAAATATTGTTATTTAATTGAATATCTAATATACAAGCACCTTGGGGTGGACATCTTTTCAATGTCCATAGCAGATATTTTAAGTTCCAATGTGTTCCAATAAGTTCCAATACCTCAAGACCAATCTATGTTGGTCAAAAAGAAATATTTTAAATTTACCAGGTAAATAAATGTGTCGGCAACGTAGCATCAATCTGCATAGTTTGGCCGCTTTCAACGTTCCTTGGGTGTTCGGATGAGTGTATTTTTGAACGGCTGTTTATTTTTGTATCTACTGTTTCATTTGTGTTTTCAATTGTAGTCGGTCCTATTCTCAGCTACGTATAGTATTGTTTACGTATCGTTTTTAAGTTTGTATAGATCCGTGATTATCTTTGACATTTTAAGTAAACTCTCTTTGTTTTACATCATTAATAATTATCAATATCCCTGAAGATCCTATTTGGAGTAGTGTATGTCACAATGAAGAGTTTCGATGTTGTGGAGTCCTTTAAGTACGTCACACTCCATAAAAAGTATCTCTTTTGGTAGCTATAGAGTCTATAAACTATGTCAGAGTCCGCGTAAAGTATAGATTTTCTAGCTGTGTAGTCTCTAAAGTATGTATGTCAATGTCACAGCCAAAAAGTGTCAGGGCCCGAGAGTTATTCAGTCAGTATGTCAACTTTTTAGCTGTGACATACTTTAGAGAGTCCACAGCAAGAAAATCCATACTTTTCGCGGTCTGTGACATACTTTATTTAAAAGTATCCGTTTTGGTATCTGTAGGGTAGGTACCTAAAGTATATCACAAGGGTATTGAGATTAGCTAGGAAGATACTAGGTCCAACAATTTGAAAGAAGTTTCACAGTTTCCAAGAGCTTTGTAATCCCCGAAGAGAGTCAAAGTCCCCGACGATACAGTTCTTTAGTCTCGATTGAGCGTCAAATTTGCACTGAAATTCACACTTTAAAGTGTTGAGCACTACAGTTCCGGATAAGCATCTTAGGCACCTGATAGTGAGAGACACAGCCTCTTATGAAGTATGTGTAAAACCCCTGATATCTAAAGTTTTAGACCTATACCACTTCAGGGATTGCCAAGTACCTGAAATCAAATGCTAGAGTTCCTGATTTAACACCTCAATTCCAGATATCAAATGTTTTAACTTCGGATGAATGATTTCCAGAGTCGCTGGAAACTGTCACAGTCCCTGACCCATGGCAGATGTTACGCACTCTGGTCTATTTCCACGCCGCCCACTCATTCTAACCCATCTGCTCTGTCATCTGAGAGACCGCTTGGCTGCGTCTCTGGAAATATTTAGCTTCGGATGACGTGTGAGCTCTATTTGTATGTTAATTACGACCAAACTACTTAACTAGACTGTTATTACAACATGCTGGCGAAGAAAGCTATTTTCACTCGTATGAATAACAATGGTGTGTTTTAAAGATAAAATATAGTTGATTTACTGGTTGGGAAATAAATAATTTGATAGGATTTGGCTTTGAAGCTATATTAAACGGAGTCTTGCCTAGGTTAACTAAGAAAGATTTTGTTTTTAGATCTACAGAATGACTTATGCCTTACTTAATGCTTAAGAATGAAATCTTTGATTACATTAAAAATCCTTTGTATCATATTGGATTTGGCCTGACAAAAGGGTTTGTTTGATTGAACTTTTAAAAGTTCTCTAAGGGTAGTACCAAGCAACAATTGGACAATAGGATTGAAATTAATCCCTTTTTGTTTTGAATTTATAGTAAGACACTTAATAATAAACAGATAATGACAATGAGAATAACCAAACATTATCCTTCTTTTTGAGTTTATTTGCTAACATTTTTTATACTGAGCACTATTATAATACCTTTTATCAGGAGTTAATGTTTACATGTTTAAATTAATGATAAGGTTAAACGTAGTAAATCGAAGATAAAATGGACAAAATTGCTACTTTCTTATTTTTGACTCTGCGTCTATGAGTTTATCAAAGCTAATTGGAGACTGACTCTGCTAAAAACTTCCAAAAGTTTAGATCAGGAAACCGGTCAACTATGGGCTGATTTACCACCATAACTACCCCACTTGGACGTCCAAAGGTTAGATATAAATAGAGATATTAACGTTTTGGAATCAAATATTGATTGGTCACCATGTTCACAAAAACATACATTCACGATGTTTATGATTGTACTATTTTCATTGTCTCTCTTTCGACCCAGTTGATTGAACTAAGCAAACAAGACCAAACTAGGTTTTGCAGTAGATTTGAATTTTGTTTACAATTTGCAATGGTAAGCGTGTAATTGCATTACTTATTGAATTAAATCTTCTGCATTAAAACAGTATCTAAGTACCTATTGTTTTGCAAAGTACGCATAAAGCAATCATAAGAAATTGAAAACCGAAGGTTTTACCCAACATTAGTCACAAATGTCACAAGTAACCTGGAATCAACTTATCTACTGGAAAGGTATGCCATATGAATACGTTACCAATTGTTGTGACGACAGTTAGACAGTATATAAACGCGTTGAGGAAGCTCCAAGCCTTGAGGCCACTGTAGGACATCATCCCGGCCTCATAGGCTGTGTGAAGCTGTTCCTCAAACTCCATCAACTTCCTCCTCGCCAGAGACTTCCATTCCTCCTCCTTCATGTGGTGACTGGACTGCCAAAGATTGTCTACAAATTCGCGTTTCACTCTTTTGACTCCGCACTTGTAGAAAGACTCGAACGCCCCTTCTGTGAACCTAAAGACGAACGCTCCACACCCACAGTATATCACTAGTACCACAAAACAAAGCAAGCAGCGGTTCACGGCGTTCCTAATCTTCCACAGTTCTCGCCGATTGTCCCTCAAGAAGTATCTCCACTCTTGCTTGATTTCCTTGAAGGCTTGGATGATTGACGCTTTTTCTGCAGGTTCTGTTGCTACAACAGATTTTCCCTTCTCTACTTCTAGATCTTTGGGCTTTTGTTCAACTTTTGACTCTACCAGCACTAGTTGCTTTGAATCATCAGTTGCTGAAGGATTTTCTTCAATTGCTAAAACCTTCTTTTCAGGCTCCTTCTTCTTTTCTACACGCCTTTTCCTCAGGTTCTCTTCTGGTTTCCAAAACTCATCACTGCTGTCCTCAATGCTAGGCCTTCTTTCTTCGTCACTGATCGTTCGTGTTTTCGATTTGCTTCGTTTTTTCGCCACAGGAGGTTCTTCTTTTTCCTTCTTAGCGGCTCTTTTCTCTTTTTCTTTGATTACTGGAGGACGCTCTAAACTCCTATTGCGCCTTGGTGGTACAACAATCTTTTCTTTTTGTCCAAGTTCTCTCTCTAGAGATTTCCCTCTTATTCTTTGAGTCCAGCTTGGCCATGATTTCCACCAACTGGATTTCTCTTCATTTTTATCATCTTTCTCTTCACGTCCTCTGGATTTGCTCCGAGTTCTCAACGCCGGTTTAGGTGTTTCTAGTTTTGTCCTCACATCGTTTCCGTTGTCCAACGGGGTTAGAGGTACTGCAGACCATCGCTTTGAAGACTCTAGTTTAGATTTCGTTGGGTCGTTTTTCGGTCTCGTAGTTTTCCTCGATTTCCTCTCATCGTCATCCTCGGAACTTGATATCCGTTTGTGTCCAGGCTCCCGGACATCTCCGGGGGATGAGAGACTCCTCTTGACTCGCTCCTTCTTCTCTTTCTCAGCAGCCTCGAGCTCTGGCGGAGTTACAAAGTTTGGCTCCGGAGTCTTGTTCCTTCTCACCCGGTGGCCAGTGTTGGGGCTACGCCTATGTCCATAGCGACTCTGCCCTGACCCTGGTCGCCGACTCCTGGACACTCCCCCGGCGGCGAGCACCTCCTTCGGCGTCGACTCCTCAGTCACCTCACTCCGCGACACATCTTCCATCCCGACATTTGGACACCACTGGATCCGTTGCAGCTGAGATATTTTCAGCGTCTCCCCCCACTCACCCACTAAAAATACCGCAGTTCGAGTTCGAGATATCGATTGTTCCGATGCGACTGCGCTAGTGTAGTCTCGAATCGTACGTTAGTTGTAGGAGTTGATGATAGGTTGCGGTAATGTTTGGTTTTAGCTTACTCGCTTTCTCCACCAGGCTGCGGTGAATGCGTGAATTGATCGCTGCGATTGGAGCAATTATTTTGTGTTTGGATAATAAAAGCAGTGTATTTTAAATTTAGGTGCTATTAAATTGGTAGTAAAAAAATTACTTAAAAACAGTTTTACTTTTTAATGAACACATCCCTGAACCTTTTCGAAAATTTATTTTATTTAAAGAGGGATTTGTCGCTTACATTGTTCCTTATATTCAGCCAATTCTAGGTTATTGGTATTTGACGTATCTTTTCCATTTTTGGAGGGCAAAGTGTTTTTTTACTTTAACTTTTTCAAGCAGTTAAAGTTGTCACAATTAAAGTTTTTCATTGTTTGACAAGCTTTTATTTGCAAGGAACCCGTTTCATTAGTAAAAATCACATTTAAAAAACTTAGCCTTTTAAACAGAAAACCTAAAACACTATTTCAAAGTAAACCTCAAATAGATTTTAAATTAACAATCTGTATTTTACGTTGCTGCATTTTTTCCATCAAAACCACCATTAATTCAATTTTACATACTACTGAACTACTGTATATCAACAAAACAAAAAAAAAACCTATTTATTTACATCGTTTAGCAGGAAATACCCTGGAATTTAATAACGTAAATCGAGTTTCATCGACAAAGGACAGGCGTTATTAGGAATTGAATGCCGTTACAGCCCAAGAGAGGTTCTGATATTTGATTTCGTACATGGTATGACGTAACGAAAACCTCTATAAATTCAAAGTTACGTAATTCTCTATACAAGGTCAATTAAACTTGGGTACACAATGTAATTAATGTGTCTACCTTAATCACAAACTCCTACACAACACCATTTAGGTAAATTGTCTGTACACAGTGCATTCAGTGTTTTGTATTATTGTTATTTGTGTTGTTTTTTTGGCCAATCAATAATTATCAAACAATCATGTGACGAAATAATTGACTTTGCTCTAGGATATTACATCGTTCCTACTCGTCTTATGGCTAGTTAATGTAGAGTGTTAAAACTCTTACAAATGTGTGTATAGCCCTACATTTTAAAATTTATAAGTAACTAGCTGGCCCGACAGACGTCGTCCTGTCCTATTGTGGTTTTATGTCACATGCTCGTTCATTTTCAAGATGAGCTCGTTCGCATGGCTCAATCACGTCCTGGTTGAAGTTCGTTCGCTACGCTCACTCACCTTTTGGTTGTAAATTAACTGTTCTCATAAATTAAAAATAAATATAGTGCTGCACCCTGTTGGTAAACCTATTAACTTTTTAATGCTATTGAACATCACAGAATCAAATTGTTTAGTTGCACCAGCTGTTAAGATTCTTTAATTCCATTTAAATATGAGTACTCATAAGGTTAACATGGGAAACTCCAGAGCCACTGGGGCGGAGCCCTATTGACAGATCTGCACCAAACTTCACACAAACCATCCTTGAATAATGCTTAATAATGCCTGAAAGTTTCATTACAATCTGTCGAGTGGTTTTGGAGTCCATAAAGGACAAACATACAAATATACAAACATACAAATATACAAACATACAAACATACAAACATACAAACATACATTGGATTTTATATATATAGATTAATAGAGCAATCAATTAAGAAAACCCTTAAACTTACGTACTGCAATCTAAAATAATAATTCATTTGCTTTATCGTGATAATGATTTCAGTCACAAAAGTGCATCCCTTGATCCCCACATAATATTTTATGATTTTCTCATTTAATGAAAGAATGAAACACTAAAAACGAAATATGACCTAACAGAATCATACGTTATGAGAACCTCTAATAGTTTTGTTCTCTTTTGCAAAAAAAAAAAAAAAAAAAAAAAAACTTGCTGTAATGAAGATTGCATGTCTACTTCAGTATCAGAGGCCAACAGTATTGTTACGTTGTAATATATCATATCGATATAATAGATAAAACAATTTAATGAAGGGTTCAATTCTCGGCACCCCAATAATCATAAAGATTTTTCAAATGTTGCTATCCCACCGACAAACAATATCACTCATAATAGAGTGGAATATCGTTAGTCAAATCAAGTATAGTTAATGAGCCGATTATTGACACAATCATACATTTGCAGTACTGCAAAAATTCATATTTAAGTAGAACTGACTTCTACAGTCAAGACAGTATCGTCTGTTTAGTATTCTGCCCATACGATTGCAGGTGGATACCTCGTTAAGGACCGTTTTATTAGGTCTACACAAACTTATTCAGACTATACCACCAGAACATGTTTGTAAATCTGTCAAACCAAGATGTGTTTAAATCAGTATTGTCAGACTCCTGGTACGCTACAGCATGTAATCTTAAAATAAACAAATCCTTCGAAAGATCTGTAGAAACATCTATTGTCTTCATTAAATAAACATACTTATTGCCAACAAATAATTACATAGAATAAATTGTTTTATTCTATGTGAAAACTCATTCATTTAACTGTTTTATTTGATTCGTGGTAACTTTGTGGTAGCCTAGAGGCAAGTCATTGGTAATTAAGTAACAAAAACAAATGCAGCTAAACAAATTAAGCCTAACCAAGCTTAATCTCAAAACTCATATGACTCAAAGTTTCTTTTCAAACGATTATTATTACCAAACAACACTAAACATGTAAAATAACAAAAGTTGTCTTTAAGAGCAGTATTTACTGAGGAACGCTTGCTAATTAAAGACATTTTGAAATTCATTTAACCTGTTTTTGAAGAAATTATAGTTTTCTCGTTCATTTTCTGCTGTAAACAGTTGATCTTATCTGACAGTTGACTTGATATGATTATTGATCAAATGAAAACTTTCAAAGGTTAAGTGGCTGGGGTTTAAGTGAATTTATGATCGGAAATTTATAGAATATTTAAACATATTTAGATGAATTTCTCAAGGCTTAATGGCAATTGGGAGATTTGTTTGCAAATACACAAGGGATATACATTTTAGTTTATACTCATAGCTTGGCAACCTTGGTACAATATAATAATTTTTTTTATTATAAGTGCTTATACAACGAAAAACAGGTCCAATAAACAACATAATATTGATAACGTTGTAAATGGTCTTTGACAAAGTATTACATTGCCTTCCTGATTGTCTGCAAAAAGAAGTTTTCTTTGTGTGTGTGGGTGTTTTTTTGTTTGTTTTTTACTGTGCATATCTAATTTAACTGTTGGTATTTACAACTAAAAGTATTTGCCCATTACCTTTACAACCAGCTGTTTCCCTCTTTTAGTCCGTAATTTCCCATTTCGAATTATTATTTGATAATAATATTTAAAGATTATTTTAAAGACGGAAATAGTAAGTTCACATTTTATAAAATCAAAGATATAACCTATAACTAAATTTAAAATTTGTATTATAAAAGATAATTATGTACTGTTCATTGTATAGTACTGTAAATAAATTAGCAAGAATCTTTTAGTAAATGCGGTAAAAATATTTAATAAAGTAGCAAATAGCGTCTCTGCTAGTATGCAGCAAGTCTGGGCAAGATGCCATTACAGCACCAAACAGAAGGCTACACACAGAGCAATATTGTACATGTTTGGTGCGATATGGCCATTCGTTTGATATATATGCCAAGACTTATAAGCTTTTCGTTGCAGCAAACCTGCACCCTAGGCGATTGCTAGTTGTTTTATACACAAACATCTGCAAACCTATTTTCAAAGTAAAAAATATGGATGTTAAAACAATATATAACAAACTTAAGAAACCAACAAAATGAGTATATCAATTGATAAAGCAGCTTTAAATATCCATTCTAAGGAGATGAGAAGAATAATAAACCCCCTTAACCCTATTCGAAGCAAGTTTTTTTCTACAAAAAGTTTAAAAATGAAAGAAGTGTGGTTGCTGCTTAGCTTCAAACATTTAACAAATCCCACATTTACCCTAATGTTTATCTTAAAAAGAAAACATAAAAAACATACTTGAAAAGATTTTGTTAAAACTTCTAGTTTTATCATTTATCATTACAGTTTGATACACGGCCAAAACAATAACTTTTCTTGCCTCCTGTATTTTTCAGGTAATGATGATTGAACTGACATATTTCCAATCATAAAACAACAATCATTTTACAAATTAAATTTGTTTGCATGGTATAAGTATCTATAAACACAAAGTGGTTTCATACACATTTATTTCCTAAATCTATTTATATTTTGACACCGCTATTTTCGGGTTTGAGAACCGTTTTAAATTTAATGTAGAAGAATTTATTTATATATGTTGTTTTTTAGTTCTGTAGTCAATGTTTATTTTAATGGGAACTGTTTTCAGTGTCATTGAAAGATTGAGGGTAAACACCAATGAATATTAATTATCGTGTTAATATACACCAGACAGCATTAATTATCGCGTCATAACTATTGAAAGCACCAATAAGTCAATGATAATATACGCTCACATACAGATGTATTATAGTTAGTGGCTCATAAATTAGCCCACCAATTGATTTATTAGCCTAATATATTCAATTACACTAATTAATTAATACTGAAATGCCAATAATTGTAAAGTTATAGCTTAATACATGTGTGTTGTTTTTAAAATCCTTTAATTCTATATAGCCGGTTAAGTGCATTGCATTTTAATTCAATTTCCATTTTGTAAATTTATAATATTTCTGTCAATTAAGCTAAAAAAATATTTTTGCATGCATTTGGTTTATCTAATTGACTGTCTCTTGCCAAAATATTATGCATTTTTCAAGTATGTACGTTTTTCATAAAACTAACTTTCCTATAAATAGTGTCAATATATTTGATAAACTATAGATTTAGGTTCGAGAGGCATGGGTTGAACTATATCACAAATGATTATGTAATTA